ATATATATGTATATATATATATATTAACCTCTCTCTACAAAGTTTGTTCCGTTAATAGTTCCACTAAAATTCTCTCTCTACTAAGTAGTACTAACAAAAAATTCCACTAAAATTCTCTCTCCACTAACATCTCCCACTAAATTTGTTCTATATAGCTTCTTTCAAAATCAAAACTCCTAAGTTAATAAATAATAAAATAAATAAATTGAATTAGAGAGATTCATTTTATTGTCATATTGCATTTTAAACTTTATTTTGATTATAATATAAATTTAATAGGCAACAAACATCAGCATGAAACAAGTTATCGGTATTTACATATTTTTTACTCAATAATGAAAAACCATAATGCAATTGCTACTATTTTTTAAAAAACCTAAAAACTAGAGTTTTGAGAAATTATAGTATTTTTTTGAAATTTTTGTAGGCCGAAACCAGCCAATTTTCCGATACAGATCGCTTATCCACTAATCCGACAAGTTTTGGGGTGGCCAATCTGGGTCACCCATCCGTTTTTTTGAACCTTGGTTGATATGTTGCAATTTGTTGGGTTGTTGTGGCCTTTAAAGGCCTTATGAGAGCATGTAATCAATACTTAATATAGTGGAACAATGACCTCCAATGGGAGTGTGGTCCAAAGGGATAAAGAAATTATGGTCTAAAGGGACCAAAATAGGCAAATGCCATTTGCTGATACTCAGAGTAGGCTTAACGTGCTAGGCCAGTCGAGTTGGAAAACTCTTAATTACCTGAGCATAGAGCACAACCAATAAGGGTTAGCAGGGTCATTCCTTGATTAGGTCGGAGTTACCCAGGATAGTGAGCCCAAGGACTGTTTAACCCTTGTGTGTGATGGTAGTCTTATAGAGACGAGGGCTAAAGCCTCATCATTGAACCATTACACGACATGTACATTTGATAGTCGTATTGGGAAATGGAGTCCCTATTGAGGGTGATACGTGTACATGTGCGAGAGATAATCCCTACACATCATAGAGTTGTGGTTGCACCAGGTCTATGTGACCTTGGACTTGTCTAAGGGAAAACTTGTAATCCATATACTGGGATGGTGTCCCCTCACCTATTGGCTGACTTTGGTAACCCAATCATGAACCCCTGCAGTGATTTGGGAACTGTTGGGTCAGTTTGAGAAAGTGGGTGTGGATTATAGTCCATAGTAGAAGATGGAGTGCTTCAGCAAATCTATAATTCATTGAACTAATTAGATCCGAATTCCATCAAAATTATTTAAAATTAACTATTTGATGTTAAATGATTTTTAGATTGATAGTTTGAAATTTTAAAAGTATTTAGATATTTTATTTTCTCAAAATGGATTCATAAATAGAGAGAAATTGTATTTTCATTATTTTATTCAAAGAGAAAATAAAATAAAATGATTTCTCTTTTTTAAAAATTCATTTTGATTTAAATTGATATTCCTTGCACATGGGAGGCCCATAAGGCCCACCATAATATGGTGTGGGTGGTGCGTGGGGCCCACAAGAAGCCCCATATGTGACATGCCCCACTTTTGGGAACCACCTTCCTATTTTGTGAAGAGAACATGAAAGCTCTCAATCACGATGTAAAAATATGGAAGGTATTGAAATTTAAAGAGATTTGATTTCAATCAAAAATATGTGTAAGAAGATTATAGAAAAAAAAAGTAAGTATGATATTATTTTCTATATTTTATAATTTGATGGGAATAGGTTAAGGAAGCTGAAGGATAAGGTTCTAGCACCTTCCTTTAAATCATGATGGCTGATCTAAGGATTGTATGGCTCAGATCTCTCACCCAACAGGAATCCTATGATCAATGGACTAGATCTACTCTCCATAATGATGGCTAACCTTAAGAAACCCTAACCCTAAATAAAAGTTATAAATAAGGGGGCATGCTCCTCTCATAGCCTCAAGTGGAGGCACGCCCTTGTCAAATGATAAAACGGGGAGCACGCCCCATACTAGACATTGAGGTCTAGGTTTAGTCTTGCTCCAAGTTTGTTCTATTGCTCTCTATCTGATTAAGGGCCAAGGTTTTCCCATACTTTGTAGATCTGAGAGACACCATTGATCACGTGTGCCATTGGAGGAGGCGACCCGGAGTGGCGAGTGCAAAGTCCAGTTGAGGTAATCTTCTGGCAATCTTCTTTATGGTTTGCAGTCATATGTTTTCTTGTTCCCATGAGTATTATGTGTTTTATGATCCAAGATCAAGTTTATACAATTTTGTTTGTGTAATAAAGGATTGATAAAGTGGCAGCAAATGAGAGTCCTTGGGATTCTTATGTAGTTGAACATCTGTAAGTAATCCAGATGGTGAAAATAAAGAAAATAAAGAAAAATTTTAATCGGTATACACTTGCTCAAGTTATATGGTCCAACTTTCACAATGGTTGTGGCCCATGTCAACTTCTTGCAAGCAAAGTGGCAATTAAACTTAATTTGTCTAGTACAACCACAACATAAGATATTATAAGATATCTAAAATGGGTATGGACTGGAGTACTACGTATGGATAATACTGCCTCATATTTAGCATTTGTGCTAGACAAGCAGACAATATTTAGCTTCTTAGAGGCCCACGTATTCAAAAACGGACCAAGGGAATAAATGGAAGGTAATAGGGGAAGCTTAGGTATCCACGACCCAACCCGATCAAGATTAGCCAATGCAACAAGTTTGAAGAGGACATAGATGGAAGCATAAGTCACATTTGCAATACCTAGAGGAGTAATCCATGGCACAGGGCTTCCAACAATTGCAATATTCGAAAAAGTCTTCAAGTGACCACCTTCTTTGGTGTAGACATTATGATGCAAGCCAGAATACTGGTCTCGAGTATCTAGATAAGAGAGACAAGCTTAAAGTTTACAAGAGGAACCACAGAAGGAAAAAATAGTCATTGAATCTGTCCTTTTGGGTCTTTTACTTATTTTTTGAGTCACTTAGGAGCATAAATAATAATTTTTAGAATCTTTTTCTTTCTATTCACTTAAGGTATTTTATAAGAATGGTCATGACTAGATTAGATGGATGGTCAGGATTAAGTTTGGTTTAGTGTTTTCTTATATAAGGAATGTACTCAAGCATATATTTTATTCAAAACCATAGAGTAGCTAACGCTACTTTATCTATGGTTTTTGCATCTTTTTCTAATTTTTGATCTTCCCTATCAGGTTGGTAAAAGAGCCGACGATCTGTACAAATTGTACTGTAGCATTTTACAAGCGGTATTGTACAATCGATTTTTGTCCCCAGGATCAACAACCATGCCTCCGTGCAGAGAAAGAGGGGGAAAAGCGGCAACTTGTAAAAGCCTTCGATGCTAGTTCAGAAGAAGGGGTTGCAAATCTGAGGATTGGTCAAAACCCTAGCTCTATGTTTGGCGCAAATGGAAGCCCCATCTCAGGCGAATGAGATAGAGGCAGATGAGGAATTCATAAATCCATTCCATGATCAAGCTCTAAGGAAAGATGTAGCTGATTGTATGGACAAGAAAGAACAAGAGATACTAACGAAACTTGAAATGAAAATATAAGCACAAAAAGCATACCCTTTCATCCCTAAGCAACTTACAGAAACATCAAATATGTTGTAATCAATAAATCATCAATAAAACACACAATAGGTCATCAACTACATACCTTCATTCGAGCTTCATGAAAAAGAGGCAACAGAATGAATACAGGGTCAACAGGAGTAGCAACATAGATGCCACCATCTATTCCAACAAAAATAGACAGAGTCCTCAAGTCAATATTATGGCTCACTTGTAATGTTTACAAGATGAAAACTAGCATTTTCATGAAATATTTGTATACAAACCAAAAAACTAGGACATTTTACAAACAAAATGAATCAAATTTTTCAAAGAAAAAAAGAATTTGCAATTAACCTTGCACTTAAAAAATATTTAAATGTATTACCAAACAAATTTCAAAGTCCAAAAATAAATAATTGGATTTAGAGGTGAAATATCAACTTTTTCAAAGAAATGTACCTTCACAAATATAATCCCCTATAAACCATGAGCCATAAGACTGCTTGAACCAGTGAAGCTCTTGAAGAAGTCCATCGGTAAATAAATAACAAGAAGGCTTTCCTGTAAAATTGAATTTCTCGAACTTAGCATCCCAAATAACCCTAAGATAACATTATAGTTTCATGTTAATATGCAACATGGATCAGCTTTAAAGGAAAGAAGAATTTATCGCTCCCTAATGTAAATTAGTAAAGAAAGAATCATCAAGAATATTATCACATTGATAGAAATGGGCCCTCCGAAATTGGCTCAAAACAAAAAGCAAGTACGGAAGCTAACTCTGCCACAAACAATACGGATTCCTCATAATGCAATAAAAGGAATAAACAAGTTCCCTACTTTTTGCAGATAATGTTAAATAACAAGTTCCTATTTGAATATAAGAAAAGTTCATCATGAATCTGTGATAATGAAAAGTCAACATTATTTCTACAAAAAACAAATGTTCAAGGAGAAGTAAAAAACAAATGTTCAAGGAGAAGTAAACCACCATAGATTCAGTACAAAAGTGAGATTAATGGTGCTACTATAGCTTTTTCAAAAATTTACTTTATTTCAGCTCCTCTTTACTATTTTAATGCATTGAAAACAATTCTGCCTTCAAGTGTTTCAGATTGAGAATATTTACGATCTAATACCATGTTCATTTCAACAAATATTTGAATTTTGCAATTTATGAGGAATTAAATCCATATGGTAAGTTTAAAAATAACGACAATACCCCTTAAAGGAGAATATAAGAACAATAATGAATGTGGACCAAAATGCTCCCAAGTCCCCATTATGGAGACTTAGTTTACAATGCACTCAGACATACAGCACAAAAGATACAATATATAGCTCATGGTACATCCCATTTTAGATCTAGTATATCTGGCTTGAAGTCAGCACTCAGCAATTACAGGCCCTTTATTGTTGCAAAAGATTTAGGACCATCACCAACAGTAGTACATCTCCCCACCATTCATCCAGCATCTAGTCCTTCAGCATGTGAGCAACCTGTCTCCTTAATGGTGAAGTGCAGATTTCGAGATCCTCTTGTGTCCATAAGTCGAGTCCTATTCCCATGCAGAAGATGAAAATTTGCTTAGTCCAATATATTCCTCGGCAATGAGTCCATTCTTGGAGGATCCAAAGGGATTGCTTAAGTATGTAAAAGTGCAATAGTGGATGAATAGTACATTTTCACGGTTGCATCCCTCTCTTTGAACACGATCTGAATCGATAGTGACAAGCATCACTAGGCTAAATATACATCCATTTTAAATGATCACATGTTTCTTTCACTAATGAAAGTTGTTAGATTTCTAGCTATATCTAGTTCAATCGTTCCACAGCATAGGCATGGAACTCCTTGTGTGTTCTCTAATTTCCTGGAGTAATTATTAGTCAAAATGTTGAGAAGGAAGCCTCATTAGCCGCATAATTTCTCACCTTCAAGAAATCTTTATTTTCTTGATGTTAGCATTTCAAGATATGGTTACAAGGAAAACGACCAATATTTATAGCTTCTTCAAGATTTACAGAAATTGTCAATGCAATATTTGAAATCGGATCCATTATTTCTAGTTGATTACCAAGAAATAATCACAAGATATAAAGCAGGTTTGGTCTGCCCCGGTCAAGATACAGTGCAGTTTGGGTCTGTACCAGGCAATGTTTAATCTCCAGAGCATAATTATCTTACATTTGGTCTGTGCCTGTCGATTTTTCATCTTCAAAGCGTAACTATCTTACATACTTTCAGAATTTCTGCAAGGCACAGTCATATCAATAAGTTTTAAACTGACTAAAATTTCATCAGAAATACTTCTCAGACAACTCATATATGTCAACCAGGCTAACGTTTAATGGTGAGACACTTACAAGAGAGGTCTATAAGTCAAACACTCCTCATGCAAACCAAGCAAATTTACCCTCCATAGCTCCTTTGACAAAGTTCTAAACAAGAATTTTCCCCAAAACAAGCAAGTATTTCTGCCTTCTCTAGAAAAGGCAAGGCCATTGTGACTCCACTCCATCATACTTGCCATCTATGCAAATGGTAGGGACAGAAAATATTACCTATCAAAAGACACAAAGGTAGTCCCTGTGCTGCAGTAAGCCCTCCTTCACCAAGAGACACCAGTAAGTATCGGTATTCCAGGAGCCACCATCAATCAAGTAGATAGTTTTAATCTTAGAGTTATGACACAATGAAGACTCTACCATTGTGTGCTACTGTGGTTTGGCATTTGGAAGAGCTTTTTGGCAGATATTTGACAGCTCTGTGAAATCTCCAAATAAATAAACCTTGATATCATCATCATCATCATCCGTGCCTTATCCCAACTACTTGGTGGCCACTAACCTCATCTCCAAATAAATTAACCTTGGTATACTTGCAATGAATAAGGCAACCTCATCCAAATTGGCTAAACAAAGATAAAGCCCATATGCATCCTTGGAATCCATACTCAAATGAAAATAAGGTAGGTCCAGATCACAGATGCCTGCAATATATGTATGAAGAAATTACCTTGATCCAAGGCATTTGCATTTGATGCCTGGTTTCCAAATTCCACAATTCCAAACTAGAAACAATTACAGGACTTCTGAAACCCCGTATTCTTTAACCTCGCCACCAATGCCAAGTGAAGAGTATCATAACATACAAAAGTCTTTCTAGAAGGTTTTTTACTTAGTTTGCAAGGAAATGAAACAATCCACAGACTAAATGACAAATTTTCCCCAAATTGACAGCCTCTTAACATAGATAGAAACAACTGTAAACCAGGAAACAGCTTGCCACATCTAATACAAAACGCTTGACATCAATGTTTAATAAGATGTATTCAATAGACAGATCCCTTAGCCTTAAACAGTTAGTATATTCCTCAGTCTAAGATTTAACATCAAGAAAGACTGTTTACATATGATTTTACCACATTCTTTTATTTTCATTATTCTTCACCTATACACTAAACGTTTTTACTATAGGTAAATCTGGTTAGACCCGCAACTTTAACCTATTGTTTTTTTTTTGGTAGCTCAATTGGGAAGGACTCCTCTACTCGTGGTAGGAATGGAACTCAAGACATCATGTGGTGGCACCCTGCCACACTGACAACTAGACTTGAGCCCATTCCTAAATTTAACCTATATCTTCATTTCTCAGACACATTTTCACAATGGTTAAGCCCCTATTCACAGTCAAATCATTGTTAAATTTATGTTTATTTACTTAAAATTCAATAGAGAGATCCTCGAGTTTCTAGAACAGATACAAATGCAAGACAAATAGCAGTGAACAAGTTACATACTACAAAACATTAAAATAAAATAAATATAACATTACATAGTATAGTATTGACCAATTTATTTTCCCAAACTAGTTATAGCAAATTGTGTGAAAGAAATAAACAACTTTTTGAGTTTATCCATTTGTGAGCCAACTCATAGGAATTGAGTTTACATATAGTTACCAATTTACCAGATTTTGGATGACGAAGAGATAATAAACACCCTTCAAATTTGCAAGATGCATGCAGCTCTGAAATTGTTGTTATAGGCACTACAATAAAGTTACAAGGAAAGCATTAAACTATCAATACATAAATTGCAATATGCCCAACTAAAATTGATAAACACAGGATGTCCATAAGAAAAATAAAGGGATTCGGAAGTTGAAATTTAACTACTGGAATAATAGAAAACCAAGTGTGCCAGACAAAGCAGCAAAAGAGTACTTAGTGACTTAAAATAAACAATTGAAGCACCTAAGAATTATGCATAATAAGAAACCCACTACAGCACATTACCTGGCAACCATAATACATACACGCAGAAAACTAGAGCACAACAATGAAATATGTAAACCAAATACACGACCAAATGAAGCAACTTGATATCTGACTCATTATTATTCATCTTGAACCGCAAAATTGTGACAATATAGGTTACGTTGTCTGCTTGTGGATCCTCACTTTAAAGAAAAGATGTTTGAATAACTTCACGGACCTTGTCCTGAAAAAGTGACAATTACCTTCAATGTGATTGGTCAATCTCACATTAAGTGGTTCAAGGATTCACTTTGCACAGTGAAATTAAGTGCATCCACAATTTATAAAGTTTGTCTGCGGGTTGGTGCCATAAAGTTATGGGTCATTGATTAAAACAGATGATTGAATGACTAAGATTTGATTGATACAAAAAGTCTCTGAGTATGTGAGAGAGAAATTAAGATGTATTTTTTTTTTTTTGAGACAGAGAAATTAAAATGTCTTCAAGAAGAATGTCCCACATACCATAGAGCCCTTGGCATGGCTAGGGACTATGATTTAACACAAAGGTTTACCATGCATAGCTTGGAGCTGTGCTTAACACGAGGATAGGACAATTAATCAGATTACTCCCATGATAGATGTAATCAGTAATTACCATACAACTCTCACTAAAAAGTTTGTCTGCTTTCATGTAGTGGTGGGACAGCGAGATGCATTACAAAAGAAAGTGAAAAAAATCTAGAGCAAGACGCCAATTGTGAATGAAACTATGAAGTGTCTCCAAATGTGTGCAACATGTTGATTGGACTCATATGCGATAATTCAAGTTTGAGTTGAGTCACTGAACAACTGATCTATCTATATTTCCACTGGAAACTAGGCCATCATCATTGGTGTAGTCACCTATTACACATGGATAATCATCCTCCTTAGTCTCCCCTGAATCAGCCTCTAGAATGGATGCAAGTGTGGATGTGGCTTAAGCTTTACTCTTTCCAGATCTAGCACTCGCATATGTAAAAGTCCGAGCAATATACTAATATACAACCAAGTTAGCCAGCTCCCTAATGGGTCAAACACATGATCTTCTTCCTCTGCCATCCATTCAATATAAACATTAACTTCTAAAGATGAACGTGGCGATGTTTCTGACACTTCTCATAACACTCATTGAGGAATTGTTTGTAGTTGATGAGTTCCATATGCTCCAGCTTGTTCCTTTTCCTACTATGGAGTTGTAAGTTCAGCAAGGGAAAAGAAGAAAGCAGGTTCAAAAGATTAAGAACCTAAGTTAATCATTGCCTACAAAATTATTAAAGTGACCAACTCAAATGTGTTCTTTGTGCTATCTTTTCTTTTGCATTAGTAAAAGTGCCATTGCAATTAGACATACCACAGGGAAGGCTCAGAATGGGTGCTTGGACAGCACTAGGGGACCTTATTGCATATGCCCTTGCTTTTCTCCCTTAATTATATGCAGGATACTGGAAAGGCCATTCATTGACAATTTAAAAGGGAGAATTAATCAAAGGGTGTGGTTTGCATAAGGTTGCAACCTTAAACTATCAAATTAAGGTTCACTCCAAAACTTTGTCATAAGATACATTTTTGGTGTCGAAAATTCTTCGGATAGTACAAGAATCTATTTTTATCTATGTTTATAAAATTTCAAACTCCAAAAATGGCTTAAATCAAGTAGATCTATAAGCGCAGGAAAATCTTGAAAATGGACGGTCCAGATAATGTGTTGCAAGATGTATTATTTTTAGTACTTGAAATCTCTTTTTTCCTCAATATCTATACATTTCAATGTCGAGATGCTCAATTAGATGTTTTTCCAATGTCAAAACAACCCTTTTCGAAGGATCTTTGATTTGCACCTCAATTCTAAATTTTAAGGTGTCAACCTTACATAAACTTTTTCCTTAATCAAATTTCCTTGGATACCAAACCCTACGTATATTTTCGGCACAGTTTCTTCAAAATGCAGAGTTGACTTTTACGTTTCAAGCGAAATCGATGACTGGAAAAGAACCCGAGAAGGGAAAAATAAATTGCAGAGCCAAAAACCTAGACTACTTTACAAGCAAAGAAAAACAGCACAGGAAAAAGAGAGAATATACGCAAAGCTGAGCTTTCCATTAATGTCTGTAAAAGAAAAGAAAAAACGGATCCATGAGAAGAATTGAAGAACATTAATGCTCACAGTGTGGTGCGATGAGAAGGCGCGTTTGTGCTTCGCCCTTGGAGGAGGCCATGGCGCCACAGAAATGACATCCAACTACAAAACCCAAATTCCCGCCCTTTCTGGTTTTCTTTGGTAAAGTCAAAAAGGAAGAATGCTATCATCCCGGACTATTTAAATGTACGGCCCATTGGCATAACCGTCCAATTAATGAATGAACGGCTATGAATAGAAAGAGATGCCATGGATTCATGCCTTGTTTGAATCAGTACCAATCTCTCACACCGTCCAATCGCTTGGACACTGAGAACTTGACCACTCCTTGCGGTGTTTGGTTGATTACTTTTTTAAGGAAAAGTGTTTGGTGAGTGGGCTGACTCATAGTATTTTAATTACAAAATATACCTCAAATATGTATTTTCGATGCAACATTATAGAGTTCAATAATCTCATGACAATTCTCTAAACTGGGAATTTTTCTTTTTCGTGAAATATAAATGCTCTTTTTTTTAATTCGATTATTTATTGTCCATTTTAACTTTTAATTAATGTAATATTTTCTTACACCTCTGTTAGAGACGGATGTTAAATATGCAAATGACTACACGGTAATAGGTGAGTCGGCTGACTGACCAAAACTATATCGTTACTTTATTAGAAGAAAAACTACCAAAGGGTTTACAATAGCCTATAAAATTATTATGAGGACCTGGTTCCAATGAGTCCATGGACTCATATGTAGAAATGAAGCCTCTTAATCATCTATTTTTTAAATGGAATGAAATGCGGCCTCTTAATAATCTAGTTTTTAAATGGAATTTAACCCTAAGTTTTATGAAGTATAAAATCTCTAACATGGAGATCATTAATATGTACAAATAAAATTGGGATTGTATACAATGAGACCATTTACTTTTAGCAGATGGAGGTCACAATTACATACAACTATCATATGTAAGAACAATGATTTCATGCAACCGTTATATAGTAATATGATGCAACAACCTTAAAAAACCATCTTATGGCCATTTGTTTGATCCAAATTTTGAAATATACAGTCTTTTCATTCTAATGAACAATAAAAAAAAGAAAAATTTGAAAACACAACCTAGAAAGTATTTTTTTAGTCCAATTAACATAGGCCGTTCATTTTGGTGAGATACTTAGATCTAGGTCGTGGAAGGAAATTTTCATTTCTAATTTTTTTGGATGGCTTTATTATCATTAGATGAACAATGTTAAAAAAGAAAAAAATTATTTTTAGTTTATAAAGGCTAAGATCTTGAAATTCACAAAATGAAAGGTCTAGATTTTATTGGAGGGGACTCATTTTGAACATATCTAGGGTTCAAATTAAACTTTTTTTTTTTGGGATTGATTATTGAGATGAAGAGAGAGTGTGTGTAAAATTTAGGGTCATACAAATACCACAAACATGGTTTTATAGAAGTATCGTTTCATTATACTATGTTACAACCATTGCATTAGATCTTTGCTCCTGATGTAAAATCTGATAGCTTGAGTGTATCACAAAGTTCGAAAACAATTCTTTTGAACTTTGAACTTGGTGAATGAAATAAATGCAGCTACCTAATTTCACATCCAATGGTCAAGATTAATTGTAACCACCTTGTAGCAAAGGTAAATAGGCTCATTATGTATTTTCTCAATAAAATTTTAGAAAGAAATATTTGGATAGTTAGTTTTAGTCTTTTTTAAAGGGACAACATTTATATCCACCTTTGGGATTGATGATTCATGTCTCGGGGGATGCAAATGTAGGAATGTGTCCCCCGATGCATATAATATTTTGCCTTATTATAAACAAAAGATCTCGTTGTCTTTTCTTTCTTTATTCTATTTTTATTTTTATTTTTTTTGTGGGAGAAGGGTGGTAGTTGTTTAATGGGAAGAGATCCCCTGCCCATAATCGGAATGAAAATCAAGACATCATGTTAGTGTCCTGTTATTATTTTAGGGAAAAATATCTTTGTACCCATATTTTAAAGTTTCATTTCTTAATAGACAAAAGATTTCAAAACTTCTCTTGGGGCATAGAAATCCCAAGTCTTATATCTTTTAACTCTCCAGGCTGACTTAACCCATTTTAAACCTATTTTGTTAGCCCAAATAAATCTAAAAAAAACGTACTTTTTCTAAACCCCTTCATTTCTCTCTCAGGTGATACCGCTAACTTTTATCTCTCTCCCACGACTCTCCCCAAACCTCTTCTCTCTCTCCATAGTTTCCCCATTCTCTCTCTCTCTATCTCTTGTGTACCAGGATTTTCCGTGGGAACACTTGACGGAGGAAGACTTGCCAGAAAACTCAATCGGAATTTGTACATTTTGGCTAGAGAACTTTTGCAAAAATGTAACAACAATATCTTTCAAAGCTAATAAAGCCCTCTCATGAGCGAACATTTCTTGCTCTTTACTAACCCTAGCCATCTCGTGCCTATTCCAATTTTCCTCTCTCATTACCCTCTGTTCCTCTCTCTACTCTATAGTCTTCAAAAAGTTCTATGGCAATTCATCTTGCTTCTCTATCCCCAGCTTCATGAGGTTCTCAAAAAATGCCATCATCTCCTTGTATTTTCTCTGGGTATTGCCAGAATTCAAGTTTTTTTGCCAAAATCTGATGATGAGCCCAAGAGACGCTTATTCCACAACTTTGATTGACTGAAAAATCATTGGAGAAAATATTTTGGGTGCCGGAATTGGATTTTTGGCCAAAATCCTAGCTATGTTGAGTTTAAAGTAGAAGTAAATGAAGATGCAAATGTGACATGTATGTTGTTGGTAGCTTCCAATGTTCATGTATGCGTTGCGAACCAACTATCTTACGCAACACATAGGGAACATCAACCCGATGTAGCGGGCATAGCTCCATCATGTGGTCCATCAACAAGGATCAAGTAATGCTCATGACATATATGTTTATTATGTATTTCATTCTTTATAGTTAATACTTATTGAATCCTTTGAACTTCATTTTTCAGCCGCCCCATTGAACTAGTGCATGTCCCCATTATCGAAAAAGTAACTCCGAGAGTGCGCGACACATCAGGCCTAATCCCAATGATATGCATCTATCGAAATCTCCATGCAGTTTAGTCCACTCACATATTCAACTTTACTTAGAAGAAGAATTCGTGGATGTCAGGCTACTCTGTAATCATTTAGTAGATTATTGCATATATCAAAATTTTATTATGAGGTACCTAAAGAATGGCCAAGATCATTTAGTTGTGATCTGTGCACTGGGAAGGAGTGCAAATGAAAACTGCGATGCTCTAGAATTTCCACCACAAAGTATTTTAAGGTGAGAGAGTTGATAGATAACAACACTTGTATGGGTCCAATGGGAAAGGTTCACCAGGCATTAGCTTGGTTAACTGACAAGATAAATATGAGACCCAAAGATATTATGAATGATGTTCAACACAAACATGGTGTATTGTTGTCATACATGCAAGCGTGGAGAGGGAAAGAGGTTTCGACATAAATGATTCTGGATCACATAAATAGCCGTATATAGAGCTACCCCTATAGATGGGGAAGCAATGAGTCACCAACCCCAAACTATAGGCTACATATCTATAGATTGTGACCATAGATTCTGATGTATGTTCTTAAGTTTTAGTCTTTGCCTCCATGGATTTTTTTACAGTTGTAGGCCTCTCATTGGTTTGGATGAGACATTTCTCAAGAGAACATACAAGGGGACTCTGTTGAGCGCTATTGGTGCAGATGTTGATGGTGGCATGTTCCCGATAGCATTTACTGTGTTAGATAATGAGGGCACAAGTTCTTGGATATGGTTTCTTGAATACTTGAAGGAGTTCATCAATACATGGCAAGACTTGCGTCATTTGACGATTGTTTCAAACCGCCAGAAAGGGCTATTATAAGAATTAGAATGCATCTTCCCAGACTGCTATCCAGGGTTTTGTGTGCATCATTTTGCACAAAACTTCCTGAAGCGACTTAAGAAATTTACTTTAATGATGATCTTATGGAAGGCAGCCTGTACACTAAGGGTAGAAGAGTTTGAGGAAGAGATGTCACGAATGAGGGAAGTTGGTCCTCAAGCGTGTGAACCACGTCAATGTTGAACGAACGTATATTTTCCCTGGGGACAAATACAATCATATCACGTCCAATATTGTTAAGAGTTTCAATGATTGGATGTTACCTTTTTGTGATAAGCCAATTATTGCATTGTGTGAGGGCATTAAGATGGAGCTAATAATGACTTTTACAGATAGATTGACGACGACAAAAAAATGGAGTGGCATTCTAGTGCTGACTTCACAAAAAGAGTTAACATACGAATTAGAAAGTCATGATTCTGCCACAACCTATTATGGGTGTCAGATAGGAAGTAGGAGGTGGTTGAGGATAGGAGATATGTTGTAGATCTTGATCAGTAGACTTGTACATGCATGGAGTGGAAGATTAGTGGCTTACCTTGCAGTCATGCAATTTATGCTATCGACCACTGCCACCTTCCAGTAACTGCATTTTGCCAATCATTTTTCTCTGTAGTTGTTTACAAGATTGCTTATCCAGACGTGTTCCCATTGATACCGAATGATGTTCCATTGCCTGGAGTTATTGATAGGAAGGTGCTCCCCTAAGACAATGCGACCCCTTGGAAGACCAAAGAAGAAGCGAATCAGGACAGAAGAAACATTTACTAGAGCTAACTTCTACAAGTGTTGTGCACAATAGGAGGTCATGCAAAGAGCCAATTAATGATTGTATACCTCCCACATTTGAGCATGCGATTGAGCAAGGCAATGACTTCCCTGATACACCTGAGGAAGAGAGGGAGTTCTCTGGTACACCTGAACAAGACAATGAGGGTAGTGATACATCTGAGGAAGAGAGGGAATTTTCAAGTACACCTGAAGAACAAATGGAATTCACTGATGCATCAAATAATGAAAGCATCTTTTCTGATAATTCAGACGGTGCAATTGAGCCCGAGGACTTTTGATTGAAGCTTTTTTTATATAAACAAGCAATCTTCTTGATCATCATGTTTTTAGTTTCAATACTCCACAGATGAATGTAAAGAGGTTGAACTATTTGAACATGAATGCAAAAAAATATTGTTTCAAGCCATGTTACTTGCATTTTTTTTTTTTTTAATATGGGGTCTGATGTTAGAAACATCGCACCACCTTCTGTTGAAATGAAAGCGGCCCCATGTTTCTAACATCGGACCACGTTCTATTAAAAAGATTTGAAGTTTATATGAACAGAACACGATCCGATGTTAGAAATA